CCTCTGGATACTGAGGAGAGGTTGGACATAGAAGTCTCTTGATGTATAGAACCTAGGCAAAATTGCATTTGGGCTGAAGATTGACTTGATTTTTTTTTTCTTAATTACTTGATCCAGTTCAGTGTGTCTGAAGAGCACAGATTTGCTTTCTGGGACATCCTTTTTGTTTATGTATTATTTTTACTTTTTTCTTACCATGAACAACCCTCCTCTCTCCTCCTGCCCTCCGCTCTCATTTCCTTCCCGGCCACTTGCACACACGGTGTGGCGGGGGCCAGGAAATGCGCCCCCGGCGCGCTGCGGCTTCGCGGGCTCCCAAGCACCGCGCGCGGGCCGAGAAACCCCGCGGCCCCTGCGCCCGGCCCGCGCCCCCCGCGCCGCCCCGGTGCCGCCCTGGCCTGCCTCGTCGGTTTCTTTGTTAGAGACGCGTGCGGGCAGAGGCATCTTCCGGCTTGCCCGGAGCGCACGGCCCCACTCCTGACTTCTTAGAGTTCCCTAAGGACTTGTAAGCATATAGGCTCGGGTCGAGAGGCTAAATTACGCCCTAGGGGACTTTTTAAGCAAAATCCTAAATTTCATTTAGGCCGTTCGTAGGCCATGCGATTGCAAAGACTCGTGAGTGGAGGCTCGCCCGTCAGCGCCGCCCTCCCCGCGCCGGCTTTGTGCAGCCGGGGCTCGGGGAACCCTGCCCCTCTCGGACGGTCCGCTCCGGGGTCTGGTTTACGCCACTCTCCCTCCCCGCTCCGGTGGCCACCGCCCCCCACGATCTCCCTCTGCTCCCAGCCCTTCCGTTTCCTTCCACGGCCTCCCCCACCCCCTCCTGCAATCTCCCTCCCCTCGGGCTGAAAGAAAAGTCGGTAATAAGAAACCAGTTCAGTGTCAGTCGGAGAGAGGGGGGAAATAACCCCAGAGATACACGGCAATGGAGAGAGAGCTCATTTTGTGTAAAGAGGGCCTCGAGTCCCCAGGGAATTCCTGGATTGTCTCAGGCTGTCGTGTGTGATGTCCATCACGCCGTGCGAACACCATCTGCTCGGTATTATGCTCTCAGTTGCCAGGCTACCTGCTGTACGCTGTAACACTTGACTGCCTGGCTCCACGTTCGCAGCGTTGGCCCAGACGCGCGGGGCGGGGGGACGGGGGTGGGGGGAAGAACGGGAGTCATGATTAAGCCATCTGCAGAGGGGGCGGGGGGGGACACGCCGCGCGGGCAGAGCAGGCGGGCTGGAAGCCGGAGGACTGGGCTGACACCACCATCTGCTGGGGCAGAGGAAGAACAGCAGCTGCTCCTTGTTCCGCCGACGAGGAACGCCTGAAAAAGGGCTGAAACCCTGGGCATCCTCAAGCCAGTTCTCCACAAAGTCCCCTCACCCCAGAGTCATCACCGCCGGCAGCCTTTTGTGATCCCCCCCTAAGGAGCCAGCAAGCTTTGGTTCGCTGCCAGCCACCCCGGCCCCTCTCACCCAGACACTATGCATGTTCTTGAAAACACTTCAGAGAAATAAAGCTTCCCTACGCACAGATTTATAAATAAACAGCTGGCTGCTCTTGGGAGATATTTTTACCACAGCTGTTTTTTGAAGTAGAAAACTGCTTCTTTGGGGGAGGTAGAGTGTTTTTTACACCTCTACCTCTCTCCATCCCTTAGAAAATTGCTAAGATCTTTTCCCTGGAGAAGATGCGTAAAATGGATTCATTGGTTTTGATTTCTTCCCCTCATTTTATTTTACTGAGGAGTGAGAGGTTTGGGGAGTAATGACGATCTGTGTAGCCAGTTGGATTTCTAAGAGGAAGAGACTGAATTAAGATTCTTGGTAGAAAGCAAGGGAGGTTGTTGGGTAGGGGGTGGGGTAGAGAACAAGCCAGTAATTAAAACTAAAAATACTGCATCATTTGGCTTCAAGGCATTACATTTCTGGTGACGAAAGCTCAGCCTGGTTTTCTCTAATTGTACACACAGTGTGTGTCCTCCTTAGAAACAAGAACCGTGGCTTGAAATTCTGAAATTTGACAGACTGTTGCTCATTAAGCCCTCTTAGACTGGGGGTTAAAAGCCACTGTGTAAGATGAAACAGCTAATGGACTCAGCCAGCTCAATTTGTAAGGCGAGTCACTGGTTCGTCTTCACACTTTGGAATACACACCTGAGACTGGGGCTCTAGGTGTCACTCACCAGCTGTTGAATGCAGCAGAGCTGGTTGGGAAGTCCTGAAGGTGCATCAGCCTAGGTTCACGAATGTTCCATATGGAAAGCAATCCTTTAAAAATGCACATAGCCCTCCTGCCTTTAGGCCTGCGGTGAGAAACCTGAAGGCAAAACCTTTGGGAGGGAATCATTTGGGGAAATATATAATCCTATGAATTAATAACTTAACTTTCCCTTTGGGGAGACTTTTCCCCCTGTGCTTTTGCAGTCTTTCTTTTTGCCCCAGGAAGACAGGTGTCAAAAGTGGTTGGATGTACAGTCAGCCCTCGGTACAGTCCGCCCTTGGTATCCGCATCGGTGGATGCGGCACCTGCGGATAGGAGGGCAGACTAAGGGACTTGAGCATCCGCGGATTTTGGTATCTGCGGGCGGTCCTGGAACCAATCCCCCGCCGCGGATACTGAGGGACGACTGTATCATCGCCTTATTTGCCTCTCTCTTCCTTTTTTTCCCCGGGTTGGAGAAGGCTGGGAAAGCAACGCGGCACTATGTACCACTTCTGGGCATGCCCCCCAGCTACGCGGAGCTGGTCACACAGAACAAGAATATCTCCAAGTGCACAAAGATAAACGGGGCCAGCCCAGACCAGCCCTTCTCATAAAATCATGAAGAAATGAAGAAAACTTTGTCTTCCCTTGGGTCTCATTTTCTTTCCAACTCTCTCCTCCTCATTAAAACTGGACAATATCAAATATACTGAAATACTCAGAAAAAAACTATCTGTATTTCTGCTGGTTGGTTAACTATTTATACTTCAGTGTGAGTTCGTTTGTTAAAGTGATGTCAGTCAGCCATTTGTCTCTAAAGGTGGCAAGAAACACCTTTATCCCAGTGGAAGGAAGGGCTTGGAAAACAAGTAGCAAGTATTGGGGGCCAAGGGAAGACTGAAGATCTTGATCCCTGTGGGGTCAATCATAAAGTAAACTTTTTGGTAGCATAAATGTTCCTGGCATTTTTGAGTATAAGGTCTTTTTGATATAAATATTTCATAGCTCTCTACCTAATAATTGTCTATTTACAGAGAAAATACAGAAAGACAAAAAGGTTTATTAACTTCAGCAGCAACAACACTTGGCATTCAAAAAACAGAACCCAGTTCATTTATGGGAGACATACTATATATAGTCAGTCTACAGGCAATTCTTAGGTGCACACTGGGTACCCTGGACCGATAGTCTGGGAAAGGCCTGAGCTAGTGGAAGGAATACTGAATTTAGACTCAAGATAAGTGTTCTAGTTCTGCTAGTTCTGGTTCTTCCATTTACTAGCTGGGTGATCTGGGGTACTGCACCAACTAACCAGAACTTCTTGGGCTATTGTCTCTCAGGTGAAGGAATAATGGTGTTTTGCTTGTTTTGTTTTGTTTGGGGGGTAGAGGGAGTGAAGAAGATGCAGTTTAGGTAAAACTCACAGCTGGAAAGAAAAGTGTAACTGGCTCAACGCCACACGATAGAGGGAAGGTAGTACAGCAAGCCCAGACTATGGGAGATCAAATCCAGGACTGTGTCTCTAGGAGAGACAGAGATCAAACTCAGCTCTGTATTTTAAGAGGAAACTGGCAGCGTGATTGACTATCTATACTGAAGAGGTAGCAAAGCAAAAATAGGAAAAATATTCAAATCCAATTTGACTGGATGAAAATTTTTTTAAATAATTCTAGATTTATTCACATTCATTTCTTAAGTCTCATAATCCTGCTTCACAATATGACTGTGTATATCCTTCCATGTGTGCCCCTTTAATTTGTGTACATCTCAGACATCAGCTCCTCTGTGTTCAGATTAATTACTTGAAACTTGGATGAATTAAAAGGATCATTTCTGCAAAATGTTCAGACAATCCTTGCTATTATCAGGTGTGCTTGGTGGAATGAACGGGAAAGGAAGTGTCTAGAAACTGAATCTTATGGTCACACATCTATTCTTCCCATCAGCTATTTTTCCCAAATGGTCTACACTATCTGGCTGTTACAGACTTCCCCTCTGAGCACATTCTCCAAGGAGTCACTTGGGCTGTGTGTGAATAGATCTCTACCACTTTACCTCCTATTCCTTAAGGACCAGTCCTTACAATTTGCCATCATTTGACTGACTGACACATAATTATAGAATCAAGAGACCCAATTCACCCCCCAATGTTTAAATTATCCCAGACATACAAGACTCAATTCTGTTTTTAAAGATGTTGGGAGATTACATATCTTTGGTCAGTGTAACACATTCCCAATGCTCACCGTCAACAACTCTCACTAGCAGGATTTTTTTTTTACATATATATCAAAACTTTCAAATGTTGCAATTAATCAGAATTCCGTCAAATAGCAAATCTGGTGATTAATAAATTCCAGCAGTCTTCTGTAAATGTCTTTTACTAGCTAAGAAGTCTATTTTGGCCCGGTGGGCAGTAAGGATTAAGAGGCAAGGTCAGACTGTCTTGTTCTAGACCTTTAAGGTGAGCCCAGCCTCACCTCAAAAACTTGTTCCCTTTCCTTTGGAGGAACACAGAATGTAGCTGAAAACCCAGTCCTTGTCTTTAGCCAGTCCCATCCGAAACAGACTGGACTGCGTCTCAGATTTCCCAGAGCCATGTTCTTTTACTGTCCCCCTGTAGCCTCTCCGGTTCCACTGTGGTAAGGCCAGGTTTGAGGACTACTGGGTTGTTTTTATGGAAATATAACGTGTGCCACTCAGGACGCCTTAGGTCCACAAGCTGGGGCCTCTGCCCCATCCGCCTTCCCCCGTGCTTCCCTCCAAATGGGGAATCACTGCATTCTCTTCTCTTCCTGTCCTCCCAGGAGCAGCACCCCGTTGGGCTTCCCCGGACCACAGGCCCCATGCAGTCCTCCGTGGCCACAGGCTCAGGCGGCATGGTCTCCGGAGCAAGTCCCGCGGGTCCCAGCTTCCTGGGCAGCCAGCCACAGGCAGCCATCATGAAGCAGATGCTCATTGATCAGCGGGCCCAGCTGATGGAACAGCAGAAGCAACAGTTCCTGCGGGAGCAGAGGCAGCAGCAGCAGCAGCAGCAGCAGCAGCAGATTCTGGCCGAGCAGGTAACATGTCCCCACGGCGTGAATCATTCGTTCAGCAGGCATCTATTCAGCGCCTAGTGTCTGCACGGGAGTTCCAGTTCACATCCTTTGTCGAGATATTCAGTCTAGCATTTCTCGGGATCACAGAAGAACCTGCGTAATTTAGACCTTTCAATTACTTAGGCTTTTTCTTAGAATGAATTAGTTTATTCTTAAAAGACAGTCTTCAGCCATCAATTTGAAGGCCCATTTGCTGGAGACATTTCTTCAATTCAAGCCAGACTCCTTTTCTTCTGGTTTCCAGTAGCAGGGTCTACGTAATCAGCATGGGGGGTGGAGGGGCTGCCTCACATTCTTCGCAAACTCTAATATTTCTAGCGTGAAGGAAAAAGAAAATAATTCAGAGAACTTTGTTTCTTGGAGGAAAGCGTCAGGTGGAGAATTCTACAGAATTGGTCATGAACAATGGAACAGGAACAATAGCAGAATAATAGGGCCCACAGAACTACCTGGAAGCCTGAACTCGGGGTCACAGAAAGGGTGCCGACTTAAGAAAATTCCCAAAAGCTTTTAGAACAGCTCAGGAAATCTTTGAGTTAAAGGAAGGCCTAACACAAATAAAGCTTCCCTTAGACGTCTTTGTCCACCCTTGCCATATAATTCCTCCAGCTTTGAAAGAAAGCCGTCACTGCGGGCTGTTCCTGGAGGGTTCAGTGGGTTTTGTTTTTTGAGATGCCCAGGCCTGATTTCATATTATCCCAGGAAAGGCCTGGCCTTCCACAAGAGATCCCTGGATGGTTCCTGTGGGGGTCTATACAGGGCATCTTGCTCTATTATTATAGGAGGTGTGAGGTTGTCATATAAGGCTTAAAGCCCAATAGAGCTCTGCCCCACAGTTACCCTTCTAGAATGTTCCTAATAGGATCAGAATTTTAGAAATTTATCAAGCATCCTCCACCACTTATATACAAGATACTGTGTGGGACACAGGCGTATTGAGGTCCCTACTAACCAAGAGCAGCAGTTCAAAGTAACACCAGTCATCCCCCAAATAGAAAAATTGTACTGTTGAGCACAGTTCACTTATGTTCTTTTTTCTGCTTTTGTTCCTGAACAGCTGTGTAATTATCTCCCTTTTCACCAAGGTCAGTCAGCCTCCTGGCAGCTCTTGTACAAACAAACCTCTATCCCTCTCACCCTGCATAAGGTGTGTGACAAGGAACCATGCTAATCTCTCTCAGGCATTGATAAATGGAACTGCTGAGGGGGAGCTGGGCTTTGTAAATCCTCTCCTCAGCCAATCCCAGGGAATTTCAGGTGTGCCTGATATTTTGAGTGATGGCCTTTGACATGTGTGCTGTGACCAAGCACAAAGGGGAGTTGGGGTAACCAGGCAGAATTCAGCTGTGCCAGCCCAGAGATGTCCCCACTCGGCAAGGTCAGCCAAACCCTGGGAACAGGGAGGAAGGCAGAAGAAGGGGAGAAGAACTGCCACGGGATGAGGCCCATAGATGAGAAGGGGAGAACGTGGGGAGACCCCTCAGGACCCAGGACACGGAAAGATACAGGGCTCCTTGGAAAGGTGAGGAAATGGGAAACTGCAAAAAATAAGTATAATTCCTCAGTGACTGTGTGTACCAAGAGATGAAGAGGGACCCAGGAGAGAACAATTTACTCAGGGTCACAATCTTTGCTTGTGGTATGATTTTAGAAAAACCACCTAACTTCTCTCCTCATCTGCCAGGTGAGGTTTTAATAATTTACCAGCCTTCTTGCTAGAGCTATTTTAAGGATCACATGGAATAATGTGTGTAAAATTCTATGGAAACTGCACAAATGTGTGTGGGGATCTGTCACATGACCCTGGTGTCACGGAATGTGATGGAAGTGCTGCAGCCACATGTACCAGCCAGCCTGTGGGACTAGCCCAGAAGTGAAACCCAGAGACTGTGCTGAAAAGACTCAAGTCATGTAGCATCTTACCTGCCCCTGGAGACATTGCTTACTGATGCCGACTATCGGGGTCTTCAAGTGGTAGGCTGTCAACTTTTTGTTCTGAGTATGAATATTGCCATATCAGTGCCAAGCTGATTTTCTTGGTCTCTGCAGCAGCATGGAAAGTGACCTAACGCTTTCAATTTTGAAACTGGTGTATTAGAAACACGGGTTTCCTGAAAGCACATGTGAGGGAAAGCGGAAGGATTTGGGTTCTTGCATGCCTTTGGGGAACTTTACAATGATTCTCAGTGGATTTAGAAATCAGAACAGCAGGTTGAAAGCAGGCGTGAATTAACATTTAATGCCTTATTCTCAAAGAGCGCAGAACATGTCACCTCTCACCCATTCACAATAGTTGAACAGAACCTAGAATTTTAGATCTGAAAGAAACATTAGACCTCATGAAGTCCCTTCATTTTAATATGAGGAAAGTGAGGCCAGGGAGCTTATGTGTTTTATCTGAGATCGCAGAGTTAGAGAGAGGCAGAGCTGGGGCTGGAGCCAGGAACTCCTGGCCCCTGACTGGGAGCCCCATCCCCAACCCACCACAGGTTACCACAGGGCTTATCCCAAGTGTAAGTAGGACAGTTAAATTCTTACCTGATATGGGAAGTTTGGCTGAAGAGAAGCTTTTAAATGCTCAGCTTGCTCTCAAGAATGCCCTTATATTGCTGCCTAACAGATTAGCATGGTTTCTTGTCCACACAATTAATTAATTTCAACAATTTCAACCGTTTTGTGCAAAACACCATGGTAGGCACCACGGGATAGGGTGAACAGGGCAGAGGCTGTTCTTTTCTTTGGTTGCCAGAGGGCTGGCTGGCCTTGTCGAGAAAAAGAAAAAAAGAAAGAAAAAGAAAATTATAGAGCTGCCCAGGAACAAAAACAAGAGAAAAAATAGAAATAAACACATGTGTTGAGAAGTGGTCAATGTGTGTTATTTTTATAAAGAACAGGGCCCTCGCCATGTCTTCTCCTGTGGCCCTTGTAGATGAAAGGTGCTTAATGAATATTCAGCAGCTGCAGAAGGAGGTTAAGTGACACGCCGAAGGCCACACAGCTACTTGACAGCAGACCGAGACCTAAAACCCCTTCCTCTGCTCTTTCCACCTCACTCTTCTTTTCTTCCCCTTTTCACATACAGCAGGATAATGATCATAACAGCCTTTCCATATATTGGTGACAGCGCCAGCAGTGCGGAATCCTCATGAGTGGGAGAAGAAAGACTAAAACACAGGCCTCCTGGCTCCTGGTGTGTGTGGAATCCCACGTGGTTTCCTCAAGGCAGTCAGTGCTGTCTGTTTTACTCGTGGGGATGTATTTTACGGGCAGTGTGGCCTCATGGGAATAAAATTAGCCTTTTTTTCATCGCCCCTGAGAATCCCATCTTCCTATACCTGAAGCATCTATTTAGGTTATTAAAAATTTGTTGCTTGTCCCTTTGAGCTCGGTCCCCACAATGCTAAGGAAAACGTGCAAGCCAGTGTTGGAAAGTCGGAGTCAAAACTTCTTCCCTCAGTACACGTTCCTCGTGAGCCAGCAAGTCCCCGCGTCAGAAATGCCGCAGATGGTCACCAAAAGATGTGTGCAGGGGTGTTCACAGCAGCCGTATTCGTGACAGCCCAAACTGGAAACACTCTTAATGACCATCACTAGTAGAACACGGGAGTAAATTGTGGTCTATTCATACGATGGAATACTGTTCAACAGTGAGAATGAACAGACCACAACTACATGCATCGACATGGATGAATCTCACAAACATAATGATGAATGTAAGAAGTCAGACACAGATACATTGTACAAATCCACTTATAGAAAGTACAAAAGCAGACATCACTAATCTATGCTGTTAAATTAGGAGAGTGATTCCCCTGGGGTCAGAGGAATGACTGGAAAGAGGCGTGAGGGGCTACTAGCAATGTGCTTTGTCTTGATCTAGAGACTGCTTACCAGGAGTGTGTTCATGTTGGGAAAATCCGTCAAACTGTACACTTACGCTTTGTGCTCTTGCCTGTATGTGCATTATTCTTCAACACAAAGTTTAGTTTTTGAAAAAAAACTGCCTTCCTAGAACTGCCAGGATATTTAACCGTATGCTCTCTCCCCATCCCCCCTGCCCCCGCTTCCTGGCTTCTTTCGTTCTAGCAGTTGCAGCAAACACATTTACCCCGGCAGCACCTCCAGCAGCAGCGGAATCCGTACCCCGTGCAGCAGGTCAATCAGTTTCAAGGTGAGGCCACTGCACACCTCTTCCATCTTATCCCTTCCAGTTGTGAAGTGTAAGCGAATGTGTAGCCAGTGACATTGCCTTATGTGCTGTGTTTGTGTCCAGGTAATGTTAATAATATTTAAGAACTGAGATTACCAACCACTCAGAATGCATTCTTGGAGGCCCCCTGCTGTGCCAGGCGTTAACCTTTTGGTCTCTGGGTCCCGGAGGGGCCTTGGTGGGCCCAGAGAGGGGTCAGAATGGGCTGTGGGGGTGGGACTGGGGCAGCTGTCCTTTACCCAAGATACAGAAGTATTTTAATAGTTTAACAACCAATAAGGACATACTGGTGCTTGTTGGCCCAATATCAGCCTTGTTTATGTCTAGATTTTCATCTCAGCGACCACAAAGGGGAAATCCTGTGCCACATCTTTCTTGCTAATCCCAGCAGCTCAGCTGACCATAGCCCTCACTTCCAACAACCAAAGTGGAAGAACCTGCGTTGCAGCCACTAATCTCTGGTGAATATAGAAGACAAATATGGCCTTGGACTGTCTCGGTCCTGCTGCCCATTGCAGAAATCCCGAATCGTGACCCCGGTAGCAATGGGTGCATCGTATGCCCAGCGTTGCCATTCCTTTGTAAAGTAGAAAGTCCACTCAAATATCAAACCCTTCCACCTCCAATGGAGAGAACCCCTGAGGGTCTTGTATAGGGTGGAGGATCAGCCTGAGGACCCTTCCCAGTCTCATCCACAGGAGTTTTCAGGGGGCCAAAGGAGTAATCTAACAGCAGAAATCCTAATTTCTGTCTTCTGTCCTTTCTATGGGACCTAGATCAATGCGTCCTAACTTCTCAAGGGTTACCTATCCCTTTGAGAATTTGCCAGAAGTTATGAAGCCCCTTGCACGGAAATATGCATATGTGTAAATATATACAAACTTTATCATTTCACAAGTGTTATGCTCCTCAATAGACTGTGGGTGAAAATTCATGACCTAGGGTAGCATTTTTGTCTTTGAGTTGCAATACAAGTAGTTTGTGAGGATAATTTAATGGGCCACAACCAACATTTTTTAAATGAAATACAATAGAAAAGAAATTATCAGAGTGTATCATAATAAGGGAAGCTTTTGTTTCTGTTATGAACCCACATTTATAGTGATGGATCACGCACTGTGAGTTGTGGTTTAAAGAGTCTGGAAGCCACTGATGTTCACTGCCAGATTCGCTGCAGATGCCTGTGAAAATACTGGTGCTTGTGTAGCTCCCACTCTCTTCCATCCCTGGACATTTATATCACTTCGGATCCCTTTGGACTTGATACAAGGACAGGAATTGGGCTGTCCACAGGTGTTCTGTGAACTAAATTAGTGCCAATATTTTTCAAAGAATTATGTTTCTCACTTGGTCATGGGTGGGGAGGAGTGGGAAATAGTCATTGTTACATGCATAGTTTTTGTTGCAGACACAGAGCCCTCCTTTATACTCATAGTTCTCAAACTTTATTCTGCATCAGAATCACCAGCAGAGCTTGTGAAAACACAGACAGCCCCACCTCACCCCTAGAGTTTCTGATTCAGTAGGTCTGGAGAGGGGCCTGAGAATTTGCATTCTAACAAGTTCCCAGGAGTTGTGGCTACTGCTGGCCTGAGGGCCACGCTTTGAGAACCAGTGCTTTATATTATGAACTAATTAAAAACATAAAATCTGATAAACCCAACATAGTGTCCCTTGAGTTTTCTAGGTTCATAACATTTATTATATTTGAAATAAAGAGACCCACCAAAATTTAATAATTCCTCTATATTATGAGTTATTCTGAATGCTTTGGGGTCAGTTTAAGATAGTTCTACTCTTTGAACTTTCCTAAAACCCCAAACCACAGGTAATCAACCTAAAAATTTAGCTATGCTTAAGCTAAACAACCAGTGACATTTTTTAGGGTCCTTGAGCTTATTGATATGATCATTTTTTTTACTATCTTCAGCATTTTCGTGTATTTTACTAACACCCTAGATATCGTAATGTTGTGTATCTGGGAAAATAGCAAATTGATAGATAAGAAATATTGTCCTTGGAAAGATGTTCTGGTAGGAATAACTTGCATGAGACCCTACACGTTCTCTCACCACCACACATTTCAAAGGTTTTAATGACTATCTTTCTTTTATTGAGTTTTGTGCCTCTGGGCAGTGTTACATGCCCATGGGGAAAAGCTTATGTTTCACAAATATAGGGCTTCTTATGAGTGAAAATAGCACATAGACCCTTTTAAGAAAAAATTGCATATTATCATCTCTATTTGAATATGGAAGATTTTCTTTGACATTGTGATGTTAACCAGCAGACAAGAAAATTAGTTTGACTACAGTGTCTCACAATAATATCTGTTTTAGACAAAAATAAAAAAAGAAGAAGAAAAAGTAGTATGTTGTTTAACGTATATAGTAATCAGATAAAAACAAGTTAATTCTTTGGACGAATTTGAATTTTTTCCTCTGTATATTTAAAGTTACTGAAGGCATAAAACTAGATTAATAAAAGGCTTTTTGTTTGTATTAGGTGAAAAATATGGTGCTGATTGCTGATTTTAAAATGCCATTTTTTTTAACGAGTAGAATTACAACCAGATAGTGTAGTCATTTAAACTAAGTAAAAATAAAGGCTGGCGGGCTGGCCCCGTGGCTTAGCGGTTAAGTGTGTGCGCTCCGCTGCTGGCGGCCCGGGTTCAGATCCCGGGCGCGAACGGACGCACCGCTTCTCCGGCCACGCTGAGGCCGCGTCCCACATACAGCAACTAGAAGGATGTGCAACTATGACATGCAACTATCTACTGGGGCTTTGGGGGAAAAAAATAAAAAATAAATAAAATTAAAAAAATAAATAAATAAAGGTTGGCTTGGATTAGTGTTTTAATACCTCTTAAAAGGCACTGCAGCATTTTTGCCTTCTTAAGAAAGGAACCTATTTCTCATTCACAAAATTAATCCAGATAATATCGAGTCCCTCAAAATATTTTTTATAAACATACAACAAAAATGTCCAAAATATGAAAGTCATTTCATCTGTTTCCAGCAGCCCATCAGCCTGTTTGTGTAATTTGGGTCTATCTGATCAATCTCTGAGTCAGCAATATTTTTCCCTTAAATTTTTTTATAAACAACTCAATAACCCATTTCACCACAGTTGATCAGATTGGCCATGCAGTCGATACAAATTTAGTCATTAAGGTCACAAAACTTCATAACAAGATTACAATTCAGTGTTTAATCAGGAGCTTATAATTTTTTTGAAAAAATCACTTAGTTAGAATTAAGCTTAAAACAAAAAATTGAAACATTTCTAAGGATCTCCCCCACATCCTTCAGGTTTCCCCACAGTAACCATTTCATTTTTCAATGCAGCATGATATTGATTTCAAGCCACAAAAACTTAAGTCATAATCAAAATTCCCATAATTTTCTTTCTTAAAGAAAGAAAGAAAATATGGAGACATATTTGCTGCCCAGGAATCAATACCCCCATCAGGAAGACAAAAACACACTTCAGTTATCTGCCAAGGTGCCAGGTGTAACAAGGTTACACTATTGTCGTCTGGTTTCCCATCTCAGTTCCAGGTAGGATCAGATTTGCTTATAATATCGATTGGCTCCCATGCTGCATCTTTTTTAAATGTCCAGGAAAAAACTATTTTTCTTTTTCTCATAGACTTAATCTTTAGCAGAGACATAGAAAAATCCATTTGGGTGTACCTCCTAGCCCCTTGCAAAATTGACTGGGGTTTTGAGGGTGACATTCCTATTCTCTTGGCTGGTTTGGAAATTTCCTGAGAACATGTAAAGAAGGACTCACTCAAATGCCTAATTAGAGTTGAGTGACTTGGCATTGATACTCTGGCCAACTTTTAAGCAGCATGATTAAAACTACGTTAGCAATCTACTGAAAGAAATAGTCACTGCCGATTTGAAAGAGTGGACTTTGCTGGAGAAATGCGTAAAGTTCATTGCCAAGTAGCAAGCAGCAGGATGATTTCTTTTTCTAGCTCAGGAAGCTGGCCGGTTCGCACTGACATGTTATGATTCAGAGAATTTGGAGCATGTGGAAATCTACAGAGTGGATCCAAAAATGTCCCATCTGTCGAAATAGCTTCTTAGCAGAAGCAATGGCCTTTAACCTCTCAAATCCTACTCAAGTCTCAAGGGAAATTAGTCTAATGGTCTTTATTGATAATATTCTCTACTGAATCATGTTCCATTTCACAAATAGAATATGCAAAGTGATCAGCCATTTCTTCTTAATTTAGCCCAAGAGGTAAATTTCCTCTCACCTCCAAGAAAAATGGTATCTTATTGGTTGAGGGTGACATCATATCAAGAAGAATGAGACAAAATTTGCTTCTGAAATGTGGACAAAAATAATATCAAGGCATATCAAGTGAAAGAGTTAACTACAAAAGCATGTGTCCAATATGATCCCAATTTTTGTGTGTGTCTATTTTTAAATAAATAATAGTTACCAGCGGTCATCTCTGGATGGCGGGAATTCAGGTGACTTTAATTTTCATCTTTGTGTTTTTCAGTATTTTCCATATTTTTCACAATCAGCCTATGTTATAAGCAGAAGAATAATAATCGTTTTTATTAAGGATTTATTATCAGAGTAGATCCTTTCATATAAAAAAAATTGGTCACTCCCACAGAAAATTCCAACAACTTGTTACAGTACATTGCTTATCGAGAAGAGTGAGTGGTGTGTGTCCTTTTTTCCCTGCAGGTTCTCCCCAGGATATAGCAGCCGTGAGAAGCCAAGTAGCCCTCCAGAGCATGCGAACATCACGGTTGATGACACAGAACACAGGCATGATGGGAATGGGACCCTCCCAGAACCCAGGGACAATGGCCACAGCAGCAGCCCAGTCAGAGATGGGACTGGCACCTTATAGCACCACGCCTACCAGCCAACCAGGAATGTACAGTATGAGCACAGGAATGACCCAAATGTTGCAGCACCCAAACCAAAGTGGCATGAGCATCACACACAACCAAGCCCAGGGGCCGAGGCAGCCAGCCTCCGGGCAAGGGGTTGGGATGGTGAGTGGTTTTGGTCAGAGCATGCTGGTGAACTCAGCCATTCCCCAGCAGCACCAGCAGATGAAAGGGCCAGTAGGCCAGGCCCTGCCAAGGCCCCAAGGCCCACCAAGGCTGCAGAGCATTATGGGAACGGTCCAGCAGGGAGCACAGAGCTGGCAACAGAGGAGCTTACAGGGGATGCCTGGAAGGACTAGTGGAGAATTAGGAGCATTCAACAATGGTGCCAGCTACCCACTTCAAGCTGGCCAGCCGAGGCTGACCAAGCAACACTTCCCACAGGGGCTGAGCCAGGTCGTGGACGCTAACACTGGCGCCGTGAGAACCCTCAACCCAGCTGCGATGGGTCGGCAGATGATGCCGCCGCTTCCGGGGCAGCAAGGCACTAGCCAGGCCAGGCCGATGGTCATGTCTGGCCTAAGCCAGGGCGTCCCTGGCATGCCAGCATTCAGCCAGCCCCAAGCACAGCAGCAGATGCCCAGTGGCAGCTTTGCCGCAGGCAGCCAGAGCCAAGCCTATGAACGGAACCCCCCTCAGGACGTGTCATACAATTACAGTGGCGAAGCAGCTGGGGCTTCCTTCCCTGGCCTCTCGGACAGTGCAGACCTCGTGGACTCCATCATCAAAGGCGGGCCAGGGGATGAGTGGATGCAGGAGCTTGATGAATTGTTTGGAAACCCCTAGTCAAGAGGGGCCCCAGGAGCCACAACACTAGTGGTTAAAGCTTAAAACGTGAAAAAGAAACAGGATGTTGACCCATCCTTGTTTTTTGTTTTTTTGACCCACGTAAACTGAGCAAAACTGCAGCTGGCTGACCGTGGAAGACCCAGGTGCCAATCCACAGCCCCGCGGGGCCTCATTTCACCTGATTTCCACACAGCAATCGAGACGAGATGCCATGCAGATCCCTGCTGCAAGAGAGGGAGACACACCAGAGGCAGGTGGGGAAGACGAATCTGAAGCCCCTCTGCTCGGCACTCCCAGTGATCGCCTGGCCCAGCAAGAGCTGCGCCAGCCAAGACGGACTGCTGCCCAAGGTGAGGTATCCGTCTGCCCCTCCCGGCCCAGGTCCGGAGACTGCAGCTTGGGAGACACAAAAGAGACAGAGCCTCCGGCCAGGGAGAGGCTCCCTCCCACCAAGGCTGCTGGGTGGTTGCACAGGCCAAGAGCACAGGTCAGAAATGCGCTGTACTCGGGCTGGAAAGAGATGTCAGGCTTCAAGACATGCTACTGTATTTGGAGGGTAGACACAAAGAACAGTGAGATGTCACAGGGAGACTACAAAGGATCCTACGTGTGTCTCCTGCCCCATGATGACCCTCAGGAATTTTAGAGGATTTGCCATCGGCTGCCTCACAAGGACAGCCAAGTGAGCTTGGAGACAATCCCTCCGGCAGTCCTGTGGGACAGCCCTCTGCTGGTGACCGTGGTGGCCATCACTCCAGGTAGTTGGGCTGGAGCCTCCTGGGGGCCCAGACAACATCTATACGTCTAGGCAGCTCCCGTCTACTTCCGGCTGGATGCCGCCTTTCTCCCCCACTCCTGCCCTTATTCCTCCCAGCCGCCACCCCAGCCTGCCCTTGCTTCTCCTTACAGTCTATCCAAGAAGAAATGAAGCTTTTGTCTTTAGGGAGCCTGGGCGGAGTCAAAATAAATGCAAGAAGAGCTTGGACAATGCCTGAAATGCAAAGGCAACTGGAGTTTTCTTTCTCTAATGTGTAGAGTCGAATGAATAGTCTCTGCCGGGAACTGAGCGGGCTGCTCTGATGAGGACGGTGGGTTTATATAAGCCGCATCTCATACTTCTGGCATACCCAGGGAGGCATGGCCTCGAGGTCACTGGCTCTTGTTCCCTTTGGGAAAAATCCCAGAGGTGTGGCTCTAAAACTGGCCTTGCCTTTAATCCCTACTCACCGTAAAGACGCCTCTGAAATCCTGAGATGAGGAACTGAAAAATCAATTGCTCAACCTTACACATTTTGATGATAAAAAGGAGGAAGATATGGTTCTTTTCATATGGGCAAAGTAATCCACTTCAAAAGTTCTGTACAGTTGTTCTCTTTGTAATTCACTCAAATTTGCCCTAACTGAAGTCTGCCGGAAGGGATCAACAACCTCCGCTATCTAAGGCTCTTTAGTCCTTGCCTCCCCTCCCACTGTCCTGTTTTGGAAGCCATGTGGCATAATTATTGTCCTAAGTGGGTAAGAATGGCATGTGCTTTTTCCCCACCACTCCTTCCTTCCATGAACAAAAGGCTGGCTCCCTTCTGCGCACTCACACACAACTCACCACACCAGAACCCAGGCGGGGCTGTGGGGAGCAGGACTGGCTGCACTCAGGGCAAAGTCCTGAGAAGGGGGGTTCGAATAGATAGCTGGGGGCAAAGGATGTAGTGAGGCGGCAGGCAGGCAAACACTGCCCCAGACGTGCTTGCCCAGTACCAAGGTTATACAGTTGTGCGTTGCCTAACAACAGGGGTACTGAGAAATGCATCCTTAGGCGATTTCATTGTTGTGTAAACGTTATAGAGTGTACTTACACAAACCTAGATAGTATAGCCTACTACACACCTAGGCTATATGGTACTAATCTTATGGGCCAAGCGTTGTATATGCGGTCCAGTCATCACAAAATGTCGTTATGTGAGGCATGACTGTAAATCTACTCAGCAAGGGGCAGGATGAAGATCAGAGGGGGCCAGGTGGGTGAGAGCCCAGGCAGGGGCTGTGCTCCCTCTGGGAAGAGGTGGTGGCAGGGTGACTGTGAACGCCCTGTGTAGGGAGGGACACCACCAGAGAAACTCGAGTGGAAACAGATGAAAACCAAAAAAACAAGTAAACAAACAAGAAGACACAGACTACATAATTAATTACCTTTTTCTGAAAGGTACAGGAAATAAATATATAAGCAATGATGAGAAAGTGGAGGTGGCTGATGGAGAGCAGGGCGCTCCATTACCTTTGCAAAGCTTCCTCCAAATGCTCAGTACTGGGACCAACTAAATAGAGACGTAGATTTTAATAAGGTTGTTTTGTTTTGTTTTGTTTTTCCTAAGGTGCTGATGTATATGTAATGTCTAAAAAAAGTTATTTGTAAATAAGTTTTTACAATACTGCAGATATCACTGGGTCTACTATCTGTAAAAAATATACATATAAATATATATATACTGTTTGTTTAAAATAGAGTATTTTTATTTCATTCCTTAACTCATCATCACAGCAGTGGTATTGCACTTCAGATGACATCTAATTACTGATTTGTACTGTATGACCTATGGCAACTTGCTCCATTTTATTCAGATTTTTCTAGTTTTCTGTTTTTACTTTGTACATTGAGCATTGCTTATTTCCTTTTAAGAAATGTACAGAACTCTGAAATGTAGAAATGAAGTGATGTTGACATACCACTTTTAAAGAAAAAAAAAAAGAATAAAAGGTCGTTATCTGAATCAATCCGAGGTTTAGTTTATTTTAGGATTGTCCCTGGATCTCCAAACTCCATTAAGTAGGTATATTATGCCCGGGTTTTAATTTATTAACTGCAGTTCTTGTCTCAAAATTTTATGTCATTTTTTAAACACTCATGCAACAGTAGAGATCAGTCAATCGTTCCCAGCCCTTTTAATTCAACCACACAACTAAAACGTTCTAAATTTGCACTCCGAGGGATGTGGCAAAGGGAAGAGAGGAAAGTCAATTTTGAAAGGAACATACTGAAGTCTGTAGATTCGGTACCATAACAATTCAAATTCCACCTGGTTCATTCAGAGGCCTTGGAAAATTGATAGTAAAATTGTTATTTAAAAAAAAGGAAGGGCCAGCCCCGTGGCTTAGCGGTTGGGTGCGCGCGCTCCGCTGCTGGCGGCCCGGGTTCGGATCCCGGGCGCGCACCGAGGCACCGCTTCTCCGGCCATGCTGAGGCCGCGTCCCGCATGCAGCAGCTAGAAGGATGTGCAGCTATGACATACAACTATCTACTGGGGCTTTGGGGGAAAAAATAAATAAAATAAAATTATAAAAAAAAAAAAAGAAGAAAACTCAAGGAATATATTTGGGGGGAAGTAACAAAGGGGTCTTGTCCCACTGTAGTGGACACTGTCAGTACACACACACACACACACACACAGCTCTTTGGAGGACTGCCTAGGGCCAGGGCTGGCTTAGCCTGCACCCGCCCACAGAGTTCAAAGTGCTTACAAGTTTCCATGTCCCAGAATGTTATAGTCGATGACTGGCAGGTGCAGGAGTGTGAGAGCTTAGTTAACTTGCCTGGACAAGCCCTGAGATGATAGGATCTGTGTTCAGCGCTCCCCTGCAGGATCAGGCAGCAGCTGGGACTTCGCCTGAAGTTGCCCCTTGCTCGGCTTCTTGCCCTTCTACGTCCTGTTTCCCCTCCTGGGAGCCCTTTGTGAACAAATCACACACATGTGAATCCACCCCTCCACTTCCAGAAGACCTGACCTAAGACTTTCCATCAAACATTAAAAACATAGTAAAACAACACGTTTCAAAACTGACTGGGTGAAGCAGAAAAAATAGGCCACAAGAGCAGAATAAAGTCATCATCAAAAATAGATTCAAGGGGTGGGGGTGGGGGGGCGGCCTGGTGGTGCTTGTCAAGCCATGCTGTGGTGGCATCCCACATATAAAGTAGAGGAAGATGGGCACAGATGTTAGCCCAGGGCCAGTCTTCCTCAGCAAAAAAGAGGAGGATTGGCAACAGATGTTAGTGCCCAGCTAATCTTCCTCACCAAAAAAAAAAAAAAAAAAGATCCATGGGGCTGGCCTGGTGGCATAGTGGTTAAGTTCAGCACACTCCACTTGGGTGGCCCAGGTTGGCAGGTTCGGATCCTGGGTGCAGACCTACACCACTTGTCAGTCATGCTGTGGCTACAACCCACATACAAAGTGGAGGAAGATTGGTACAGATGTTAGCTCAGGGCTAATCTTCCTCAAGCAAAAAAAAAGAGGAAGATTGGCAACAGATGTTAGCTCAAGGTGAATCTTCCTCAGCAAAAAAAGAAAAAAAGAAAGATTCAAAACAGAGATGAGTTTTAATATATACAAACCAAGGGAAAGAATGAACTTGATTGTGGAAGAAGAGGCCAGCCCTACCCATGGTGGGCTGTGGTTCCAGACTGGCTGGCAAATGACACCGTGGAGAAACAATGTGACACTGGGCTTTGTCCCAACAATACAGGCTTAATACTTTACCAGGTCACATGAGATCAAAAAATAAGCTGATTCAGGGCTGGGGTGTGGGAAGGCTGATGATAAAAGTAAAAACATGAAACTCTGAGAAGAGTTGGGTACTCCCGCTAGTCCTGATTAATTAAAACCACATATTTTTATTTACACGAAAATTTGTTCTGCACTGGATGAATGTAATACCTTTCTCCTTTAAAACAATTTCTTATATGTAATTATATTGACCTTTATAAAATCCCAGTGCAGCAAGTGTGTGACGGGGTGGGGAAGAAGGAGGGAGAGAATAAACATCTCTCCAGGAAGTCACTAGGCATCTGCCCCAGTGAGAGAGATGTATGTTATTGCTGAAAATTAAGGAACATTCAAAAGCTTTAAATGAGCTAGTTCTGCCTCTGACCGTTCTTGTCAAGGAAGACTGTGTCTGGAGAAAAAAGATGAAAGACAAATGACCTGATATTTTTTCCTAATTAGTGACTTTTTCGGCCACACCCCACCCACCTCCAGCCCTGCAAAGAGAAGTGGGAAAGGAAGAATCTCTGGGAAGAGAGCAGGGCTGCTCATTTGTGTAACCAGTCCTTTAACTTTTTCTTTTTCATTTTTTTCTTCTTTTCTGTCTGGTTTTCTCCTCTAGTCTCTCTTTGAAGTTCTAAGGTCTGGTGTGCTCTGGACGAGCTGCCGCACACAGACACCTGTCTCATTTCGTGCAACAAGCAGAGGTAATTACAACAGTAGCCACACACATGGGCCCAGGTGTCCCTGCCACGCCAGGGACAGCTGCCGGGCCAGCACTAATGCTGCGGCTCTGTCCCTATCACAGATCCCAAATCAATCTTAACAGGACTCAACATAAAAAATCTTCAGAGCTACCAAGAACCTGATTTTAGGTTTTAACTTTGCTTCAGATTTTTAAAATTTTTATTATGAACATTTTCAAACAATAAGAAAAATAGAAAGAATAGTACAATGAATATCTATCCACTTACCAACTCGATTTAATAATTGCTAACACTTTGCCATATGTGCTTCACATATATATTTTGCGGAACCATTTCAAAGTAAGTTATACACCTCCAGCCACTTCACCCCTCAACCTCTCAGCATGCAGCTCCAAAGAATTAGGACGTTCTCTTCTCTAGCCACAACGTCCTAACACAATTAACGTTAATCCCCTAATATCATCTAATTCTCACTCCATATTCAAATTGTCCCAATTGTCTCCAAAATGTCTTCCATAACTGTTTTTTTCTGACCAGGATTTGATCAAGGATCCCACACTGCATTTTGTTTTTATGCTTTTTTTTTTCAAG